CAAAACAATATGTGTATTAATTGTTTAATGAGAAACTAATTTGCTCTGTAAACCTTCATCTAAAGCACAACAACAAAAAATTAAAAAAAAAAAAAGAGACGCTCATAGAAAATGAGGTGCAACTTGGCCAGGGTTGGGGGGCATGGGGATGGAGGGGAAAAGGGCCAAGGAACGCAACTACCCTATGATGCTGAAAGCTTTCAGCAGGGCTTCCAGACTAAGATGGACTAGGAAGAGAGGCCTGATGACTGATTTCCCTAAACCAGCCAATGAAAATAGATCACAATAGTTTGATCCACAACCGATCATGGGGATAGCGCAGCACCTGGGTGTTTTGTTTCACTGTGCACGGGGTCGCCATGAGTTGATGGCAGCTAACAAGAACAACACAATCACCCATCATTTTTCCCATCTTCCCCTAAGAGTAGCCATTCAGGAGTGACTTCAGGGATTCTAGACATGATAGAAATGGTGTTGAGGAATTGGTGATACCAAATCCCAATGTTGCATCCAGTTGACAATATGTGTCTCTGGCCATACATCTCTGGGCTTTAGTTTGAGTGTCCATACACGGGTGAGAAGTTATCACTGTTACCTCTCTGTCTCAGGGATCATGCCCCTCTTTTTCTCATCAAAACACATTTATTTAGCACCTACTGCATGGTGTGGGGCGGCAAGGGGCATCACCATCTGCATTAAGGCAGTCAAAGCCTAGTTATGCTGAAAATATGTATGTAAACACAGATGGTTTGGCTAAATTCATTCTTCTTTATCCTTGAGTGGTGAGGAACACAGACAAGAAAAACCTAGGTGAGTTATTAAATGGGGTTTGAGTAGAGTGTATACCTCGTATTTCCACCAGAATCTTTTGGCTCTGTGTGGAAATAACCTTTGATTGTGTTTCTAACAGGTGCTTAAGATAGTAGGAGGTCAGCACTGTTCACCCTGTGACAGACCATCCAATCCACCTATTAGGTTTGTACAGCTGCGACTCTTCTTTGGACTTAAGGGGTCCAAGAAACAAGTGAGAAGAGAGAACACTTTAGAGTCTAAAAGGGGGTGATTCTCTGGCTCAGGCAGGGAATTAATTAGCCATGGGGGAAAGGATAACTTTGTCCTTTGTAAGTCAGGTTGTTTAATGTCTCTGTCATTTGCTTATTACACACACACACACACACACACACACACACACACACACACACAATACCAAATAACTAGCTGCTGTTGAGTTGACTCTGACTCATGGCAACCCCACGTGTGTCAGAGTAGAACTGTGCTACATGGGGTTTTCAATGGCTGATTTTTTTTTTGTAAGTAGATCACTTGGCTTTTCTTCTGAGACATACATACATACATATATATGTAAGTATATACATATACATGTATAATGTAAGTATATACATACACATGTATACACACACACATATATGTGTGTGTGTGTATATATATATATGTAGCCCTGGTGGTGCAGTGGTGAGAATCTCGGCT